ATCTCGCTGACTGGACGAAGACATGTCGCGACGGCTGCTGCCACCCCCTCCTCCTCCAACTACGTTAACCCTTTGACGACAATGGCACCCACCGGTGGGTGCCACTATGTTCGTCGCGTGGGACAATGGCACCCAATGGTGGGTGCCACCTTAAAATTTCCTTCTTTGTGCATTTAAAACATTTGTAACACCCCAATAATTATAAGCAAGTTCCATAATATCTATGGCTAGCACGACTTACAGAAATGTTTACTAAGAGCTAATTTATATAGAATTTTAGAATGTGCCATTTAGCTCGCCACCATATTAATTGGGTTTTAAATTATTAGGCCGAAGATTAATTACTAATCAGGACTTCTTCGTCTTCTCATAGCCTTCAGATATGGGAAGGGGTTTGAAGTGTACCGGAAATTCTCTTGGACACTAAACTTTTAAGGTTTTGCCCTCCTTCCCTTTGAAACGCGAGTTCCCCGTCCAAATTTGGAATTCTCTTGAAAATAATTTACAGTATGAAAGCCTAGAACTGCAGTTATAACTGGTATACTGTTAAGTCAAAAATTCTACAGAAAAACTGCTTTGAGGGACAATTTTGCCCAATTTTGAGCGAGAGTTGGGCGCGCCAAAAAGAGGCGTGGTCCCACGAGCAAGCTACGTGCAAATCCGCATTGTCGTCAAAGGGTTAAGCGCTGCGGGTGTGGATGGGAAGGACATAAAGCGCCTTTTCGATTCTCGCAGCGCGAAATTTTGCTTCGGGAACTCCATGCCAGCCATGATCAGGGGTGAGCTGGGGTTTCTGTAGCGAGAAAAGCTTCGCGCTGCGAGAAGCAAAAAATCGCTTCCTGTCCGAGCGAACTACATCCATGCGTAGCTCCGGTCATTTATACTCGCATTGAACTTGTCCTTATTGATAAAAAAAATCGTTCTCAGAAAAATAGAATTGCCGGAAGTGTTCAACACTCGTTCGGCAAACATAACGGCTTCTGCAAATAAGTTGTCAACACTGCTGTACATATTTTGAGTGGTAATCTTTATAAATTTTCGAGCACCTCGTTTTGTGAAAATAAAATGTCATGAAAATTTGAGGAAGTAGCGGATAGTTTGTCTTCATCTCTTCTAGCCGTGCTGTCAGAAAATGATTGGCACACTTTGTCTTCCGATTTTCCGATCGTTAGTTCCGCGATGATAGCCAATCTTCATTTGCGATAGGATGAACAAAATCATTCGGCTCCAAGCCTGAAAATTCATTAGAGACTGAGTGGAGTCGAATCATTGAAAGTTTTTTATTTGTAAAAATGAGTCCCTTTCACACACTGGCCACGTGTCTCCTACCCTACCGATCGCACCTCGTGAGAAGGCTGACTTGAATTTCTTTTGAGCTCAAACTTGCTGACGAGTAACATTAGGTCTACGTTTTTGACCATGCACGATGTGTGTGGCGACAAAAGTGATCTTGTGCAGTCCCCTGGTGATCCTTCTTGGTAAAAATCAGAACTTCATTGTCCAATTGCGGGACCGCCGCGACTATTCGATGCCGATCCTTTAGTAATCAATGTCGATTATGCTGGACTTTTTACTTTTTTTCCTAAGTCTGTCAAGTGAAATAAGTTTTTTTTTTCGAATTGTCATATTTTGATGTTTATGTCCGTTTCGCTTTCGTTTCGTTTCATTTTTCTTACTGCGGGCAGGTTCAGACAACTCGTCCAACACGCGTCTTCCCCCATGGCTAAGCGGCAGAGGGGAGTCCCTGTCTAAGACCCTGCCCGACGTTTTTTTTTTACTTTTTCTTTCATTATTGGTCAACTTCTCACCTACAACTTCATTATAGGTGGTTTTTGCCCGCGAATTCGTTCTTGGATTGTTGCTTAAGAGTGCCGCCATTTAGTGATAGATATGATGTGCGAATTCCAAGCTGTGCTCAGCAATGGCGCCAATTAAAGCGGAAAAATACGGACCATTTATGCACCTCGGAAAGATGCATTCTATTACTCAATTTGAATGCTGTATAGTTTCGTAAGGCAGGTGATTATGCAGCGACCTAGTATGGCCAGGGTCAAGCGAGGCGTTGAGGAAAATTTGGAAATACGACCCCCCCCCCACCACCCTCCGCCGGAGGCCGAAGTCCATGAAACAACCCTCTTCAAAAGCCGAACTATGAAAAGGTTGAAAAGCTTGTTTAATTCTCCCCCAAAACTGCTCATAAAAGCCCTGCTACCCCACCGCCCACAAAAAAATTCGTTTAAGAAGTACAAAAGTGAAAAAGTCAAAGAATAATCATTTATTGATGAGTCCTACCAAACGAGCAAACGAGAAACAGACCAGAAAACGACAAACTAGCCACTAAAAATGGCATACCATGACAACATCTGTTCTTTATTCTTTATTTCCTCCACAAGACTTACCAAATTCTAGTACTACACAGATTGTGGTTCTCAATTTGCACGTAGCCCTTCAGTTGACCAGTAAGTAGAGCTTGTTGAAACAAAGCTTTTTATACCAGATTCGCCAGCTGTGTGTTGACTGGACTTTGGCGTTGACCGTGGAGCAGCTTATTTACTATTGAAATTTGAACAAATATTCAAATGATTATAACTTTCTTCAAAGTTAACGAATTTTCAATCTGAAAGCTGATTTGGGAGTTTTGTGAAGAGCTTTTTCTAATCAGTACTGAAATTACAGGAAGTTATAAGAAATAACAAATTTAGATCAAATAACGAGGAAAATTCGAGACGAGCACGAGTTTTTACACTTTCCGAAGCAACAACTTGCTTCATTTTCGTCAAATTCGAAAAGTTAATATGGCAGACAAAACTAGAAGATTTTCTCTACCAAACCATTGCTAAAGCAGCTCTATACGTCCAGTATTCGAAAAATGCCCACGTTGAGGATTTTTGCAAAATTAACGAGGAAAATTTGTGATGGGTGCGAGTTTTTTCACTTTCTAAAGCCATAACTCCGTTCAAACTCATCCAATCCGAAAAGTAAATACGCCATCATAAACTAGAAGATTTGCTCTATCAAATGCTTACTAGAACTGCTCCAAACGTCCAGTATTAAAAAAACGGCTACGTTGAGGATTTTCGCACGAGTACCGCCGAAAGGTACTTTTTCGCTACATTGGCACTATTTCAACGGCTGTATATCCTTTTAAGGGCGATTATGTACTAAAGTAAGAGCAGATTTGGAATCACTGCTTTTCTCTTCTCTAAGAAAAGTGATTGATTAGCGTTTCTCAACTTTAAAGGTTACATGTTTATAAATTTAACCCTGAAGAGTCCGTTAACGCAATGTTGAATGGTGTACACCTCCCTGTAAATGCGCACGGACACTTTCAGAATTCTCTCGATTGTTCCTGAATTGAGGTTGTTTGTCCAAGGAGCCGTAGTTGAAGCGC